GAAGCCAATTCAGAATTTCTCCACACACCACCGTCACTGATCGAACCGGTAAGTTAAACCAAGTACTTTATTGCAACGGATTGAGGATTGAGGATTAATTTATTTTCTGTGAGTAGTGTCAGTTATTAAAAAAAGAGACCACCATTACTCACCAAACTGTCCAATGTCCACCCATGTAAATTTATGATTTGCATCACAGAGTGCCAACAACACCATACTAAAAAATCGCTTGTAGTTATGGTACTGTGATCCAGAGCATGGCGGCTTCTCAATTTCTATGTGTCTGCCATCAAGAGCACCAATACAGTTTGGAAATTGCCATTTCAACATATACTGTTCGCTTATTCTTTTCCAGCCATCGGCATCAAGTGTGGGAAGCACAACAGGTTGCAAAACAAGCCAAATAGCACGGCAAATTTCTGGTATTATTTTGCAGACCGTAGATTTTCCAACTCTAAATTCGAGATGCTTCGTCCGCATGCTTTCTCCTTGAGCAAGATACCTATGCATAAAAAAAGACATTCATTCATATCAGATTTAATTTTTTAAACGCAGAATTGTTTGGTACTTACGTCAAGGTCAGGCTCAAACGAAGCCTGGGTGAAAGAGGTGCTCGCATGCTGTGTTTTTTTAGGAGTGGATGCACCAAACTGAGTAAGAATTCAAACTGCTCCGGCCACATCCGAATATACCCAAAAAATTCTTCGTGATCACTGATACGCAGTTCACGAAATAAGTTAAGGTTGAAACCCTGATCAAATTTGCGCTTGTTCACGGGCCGTAGTGGGCACCCTTGAACCACGTTTTTTCAAATCACATTAAAAATGTTTTTTAATAACTTTATTATAATATAAATGAGACTATTCGATGCTTAATATAATAAACTTTGATTGTAAATGATTTAAGAAGTAAACTTTCAGAAATATTTTGCAAACATAATGATATTTCGAAATGCTGCGTTTTTCACAGTGGACCGAAAGCGTGGGGTCGATTGACCCATAGTGTAGGGTACACTGTGACATGTAATGTGAAAGGTTGAGTATTCTGTGACACGTAGAAGAGATCTAATTGAAAACTGAAAACAAAGCCTCACAGCGACTCGATTACATGTGATCTGTAATTAAAGGGTGAAAAGAAGAGAAAATAAGCGTAGTTCTGTAAGCGTGGAACAGAAGACCCCATCAACCTGCGTTACATTGGACCCCACTGAACATCGATATAACCTCACTTTAGTAGAAATCAACGAATATTGCCTCATAGCGACTCGATTACATGTGATCTGTAACTAAAGGGTGAAAAAAAGAGAAAATAAAAGTGTGGAGATGATTATATCAATAGAAATTATTCCATTTTATAGGAAAAAGTGTTGTTGGGGATTCCCCCAATTTATTAATGTAAAATTTATATCTTAAACCGTTATATGTACTGCAATATACGTTTCGTTTGCTTCTCACGCGAAATGCTCGATAAGTTCGGAACCGCCGGAAAAAGCCGAGCCGCGCCGAAGGCGAGCGCGCGTCAGCATCCCCACGCGGCTCGCCCGACCGCCGGCCTCCCATCCAACGAACCCGCCGCGCCGCGGTATATAAGCCGGCGCTCCGACAGGAGCCGACACTTCGTCTTATCTCCGGCTCTCTGCTGCCTTCGACGAAGCCTACCCTATCCAACTTCCTAGGGCGACACATAAAACGAGGTCCGGTGCTCCGAGTCTCGACTGAGTACTCTCAGGTGTCCCCGAACTCCAGCCTACCAAACCGACGATCACGATTCCGCGGGGTCGAGCACGCTCGGTCTCGTTGCGAGCCCTCTCGCTGTCGTGACCCCGGTGCTTCGCTTCCTGCCGTATATACCTACCGCGTCTCTGTAGGCATCGGACGTTAGACCGCGTTTTGCAACTCCGTCACACCGCGACAATTGCATCCGCGATACCGTCTACCGTTTTTTACCGCTTTTCATTGCGCACGTCATGTAAATCGCATTTCAAAATTACGCATACTACAAGTCACAGCGTGCCGAGTGCATTCGCACTAATTTCTCTGTACATCTCGCGTTTCGTCAGTTTCGTTTTGTTATATCGAATAAAGTTTATATGTAGTATAAATCAATTGCTGTCTTTTGGGCCATCCACTCAACTTCCTAACAAGCGATCGAGTCCGCGGTTAACTGAAACCCCGGTCGTCTCATAGTTAAAGGGCTGAACGAAGCCACTCGCAATTATCTCGCGTTCTCGCGGAACGGATTCGGCGATTCGTTCGGCGCGTTTATTGCGCGCCC